TAAATGATTGTACATTTCTTCGGGACTTTTATCTTCTGAGTTTTCTAGCTTATTCTGAATTCTGTTTGGTAGAGCATCTCAACATTGTACTGTTTTAAAAGGTCTGTCTTAAAATTTACATCGTATTCTTCAATTAAAAAGTCAGTATCTTTTTCAGTACATCTTCGTTTATTTCTAAAAGAAAATCATGTTTGCTCACTACCATATGATGATCAGTTCCACATTCTGGTTGACGGTATACTCTTACATAATTCAGTTTAACTCTTCTTTCATTCTTCACTACAACTAAATTAATTACAGATTGAATATTTCTTACTGGATCTATTCGTGTATATTTGTGGATGTTTTTATGTCTAAACAACGTATTCCCTACACATTGTGCATGTTCCTTACGTAGGTTGATTAATCTTTTTCCGTTGTCCTTATGGGTCTCCTAATGGAGATTGTTTTAACCACTGAAATAGACATGTCTATTCCCACTCGCGTGCAATTCTGTATGTTGTAATTCGTGAATGCGCTTGAATATGTGTGTATTAGCTGTGGGTTTACTAAATCTATTTATTTACAAAAGGTACTTTTGCAATACACGAATAAGGAATACTGTAATATATCCACCATAATATTTTTAAACTGGATTAATTTATATTATAAACAAAGAACAGGGAGTTGGTCTGATACATCAATATTCGTGGAAAGGGTTCACTTGAAAAATTTAAAGTTAAAAATTTAATTTTTCATTATCGATATTCTTGAAGAAATGATTATTGTTATAATCTGGGCTGACCGGATGACGCCACAGATGACTAATGACTTGACGACTCTGGCCGCGGAAGCCTACGATATCATGATTATTGTTATAATTACATTCTAAAGCCATAATAAAATACTGATATTCGTTCATACCGATAAATATGAACTGAAATAATTAAAGTCCGTGATGCATTATTATTATTACTATTATTATTATTATTATTATTATTATTATTATTACTATTATTATTATTGTTATTATTATTATTACTATTACTATTATTATTATTATTACTATTACTATTATTATTATTATTATTATTATTATTATTTCACGTTTGTACCAGAATACGTGCCGTTTTTTCTGTACATAATTCGCATAGGTACAACTAAGTTATTAGTAGTCACACATTTCAGCGCTCCCCACATCGAAAGAAACCTCGTGCGCGGCGTAACGGGCTCTGTATCCGCGGTGCGAAACATTAATGTGATTTATTTCTTTAAAAAACAACAACAGGAAACTAACTGGACGTGATCAACAGGGGCGGAATATAATCTGTTCACATTTTCATGAGCTCTAAAATTCCCACCCTTTCCTTTGCCTAGCGTTAGCACTTGCGTTAAACTTCCACAGCTCACGGATCCAGAACCAAGGAAGTTGCCTCGGTGGTCTGTGGCCCTGATGCCGTTCTCATGGCACGGAGTCTCAACAGACGCTTCGAAAAAACAAATTTCGCAGAATGGAACTAGCCTTCCTAGGTATTATTATTTATTATATATTTCTCGTTTCATATATTTCTCCTTGTTCATAATACTATATGAGTAATACAAGTATTTTCATACGTTTTACATTTTCATTAATATGTACTAATACATTTTACATAATTGTGGAAATACATCAGTCTGAAAGTACAGGAGGATTGCTCTCATAAGTTACGCTCATGAGGACAACAATGTTTAGAGATTACCGCTTCAAAAAAAGTTTGTCTTTGGGGCGGCTGTTTTTTATTTGTTTTTTTTTGCTTTTTTCACGCAACTCCACTTTTTCTTTGCTTAAAAAAGCATTGAACAAACATTTCGAAAATGAAAAAAATCAACAAACAACGTTTCAAATTCTCAGGACCTTAAATGGAGTCAGCTGAATCGAAGAATATCAATTTTGAAAAAAAATGCAATGTACAGTTTAGGTGCTAGACTAGTTCAAACACCGACACAAGTTTTTGAAAATGACCACTTTTTCGGTATGAGGAACTCGTAAAACACGTGTCCGTAAAATTCTCGACGTCGAATGTTTGCAGTGTGACGTGCATACTAGTAACACGAGAAGGCAAAAAGCGCTGAAAGTGCAATGCATGTCCTTTACCTGCAGCCACCCCACTTCCAGCCTTCTTTGGTGTTCTTCCCGTGGCGCGACGAGTCGCAGGAGCACTCCGTGAGGTTGCCCGAGCTGCAGGCCTGCGTCACCGCGTGCACCACTCCGGCGCTCGTCACGGCGTAGATGAAGGCCGTCTCCTTGCTCCCTGCGGACACACAAGCGCCTCGCTGCACTCCGAGCGCCTCCCGCGCCCTGCGCTCGGCCCTCCGGTATTTTTATTATCGCTTCCGGGCGAGTCAACGACTGCACTCATTAGGCCTGTGACTGTATTGCAAGATGTACCTCGGAAGGTGGCGGTGTTCCTCCGCCGCCGGAACGTGAGGTTCGGCTCGGAACTACACATCGGCTTGAGGGGTTTTCCCTTCCCTTAGTTATTTCCGTCAGCCAGGAAAAGTTCCTGTTAAGATCTAAGCTTCTGACAGGTCTCCCGGCATGTGTGCGGTAGTGTAGTGCATATACTAAGTGTGTGTGGGGTTAATAGGACAAAGAAGTAGAAAAAACAGATGGTACACGATCAGTTGCCCTTTGTCAGGGTACGTACTGCTCCGGCATTCGCAGGGTGTTGATCGGAGAAACTTCGCAAAACTACCGATTAAAGCTGTCAGCCGCTAGAATTCTCACGGCAATGGCTCATCTCCACCCAGCTACCTATCTGGTGTCGAAAATCCTGCCACCGGCGAGACTCGTACCCTAGTAATTCCCGATCAGAGGCCCTGCAGTGGCATCAGTTAGTGCCTTGAGGTACTTCAGCCGGTACCAACCATTCATACATCATTTCACCATGACTGCGAAAAGCCAAGTGCATGTGAAACTTGCGCCAGCTCGGTGGCTCTAGAGGAAGTTCCCTCAGCCAGGCGCAGTGGCGGGCACAACAGCAGCCACTCGGTGCTCACCGCCCAAGACTCTCCTAGGGGCGGAAAACAGACCGCCAGCCCCAAGGCATCTGCGTCAGCAAGAGGTGAACTACCGTAGGCTAACCCCTAAATGATTGAGGAATCTCTATTCTCGCAGAACGTTCACAGGCGCAATTGTTCGCTCTCGTTCACAGGCGCAATTGTACTTTCAAAGGCGCAATTGTACTGTTATTACTAATTCTTTTATAGAGATCGAGATCTCTTTTCTGCACGTAAAATAACACTTATGTAGTATTTGTAGCTTTACAGCGTTGTGGCAACACGGTGCTACGGTGCTCAATAGACATACAAATTCGGTCGAGTTGGAATGAGAGTCTTTCTCAAAGGCTCTTGTTAATAGGGAATCCGAGTTGTCACAGTCAATATTAGTCATGTTGAATCTATCGTACTCACTACGTAACGAGTGCAATGAAATTTTATAAATGGAGCTTAAAAATTATTATTTCGTTCGGCGATCGCACAGCCTACGTTTCAGCCCAGATGCGACGTTCTTGGCGAATAGCAACTTTCCGGCCACTCGTTGGCAGTTTGATTCGGAGAAGGAATGCTGGATGCCTGGGATACCAGGACCAAATTCTTTCTGTTCTAAAGGAAGTTGAGGTCGACTTGTAGAATTCTCTTCCAAGGACACCGTCAGAGCATAGCAATGAAACACGGTTGTGTCAAAGCACAAGCACAAGTATAATTTACTACAGGCCTTCTCAAAACAGTGCTGTTGAGCCGCTGTCTGCGGCAGCCGCGGGCACACAGGCTCACATCGGGGGCTACTGGATCAATTGTAGGTTTCGTCGACGGGTCTGTCGCCACACTCCATCGGGACGCGATTGTCTCCAATTCTCTCTCAGTCGTACACGTAAAGAATAATTCAGTCATATTTTCGGGCTTTAATACAATAATGTACGCGAAGTTATTGATATTTCTAGGCAACAAAAAACTTCCTCCTCTGCTGGGTTTTGTTTACAGCAGTTTCAGAGAAGCCTCTTTCATCTTATTTTCGGGAACACACGTCGTACACTCCTCCAAACGCAACACAAATCCCGAATTCAGCGCGAAGCAGCGGGCGGCCCCCAGAGAGAAAGGAGGGAGGCAAACGGGGTATCAGAGAAAGTGGCTTTGGCATTTCCCACGGCATATTCCTGACCACGGTTCCCTGAATCCAGCTGCATATGGAGGGATCATCTACAAAAATTTATTACAATTGTATTCAAAGGCATACAGGACTAGTTCTCCCAGTGTCTCATACTTTTAACCGAAATGTGAATTTTGTAATATTGTAGAAGGTAATGCAATATTTACTTAGAATAAAATTTAAAAACATTGGCTTTTTGAAAAACTTCGTGTTTACACAACATGAAAAAAAATCATTTTTGGTGATTTTCGCTGCATTGGTATGACGCTTTTTACTAGTAGATAATCATGGAGTTTGCATCTACAGTTCGTCATTCATTAGCATCTCATTAACTTGCAATTGAAATTCATGTAAGTAAGGTAGAACAATTCTTTGTTTGTGGGTCTAAAAATAGGGTAGGAAGTGAGATAAACACAAACATGCATTTTCAAATGACTTTGAAATTGGGTTCAAAATTATTTAAATGTAGGTTTTTGATACGTCACGTATTTTCACATTTAGAATTGGCTCTTGAAATGTCTTTAAAAATCAGAGGCTTTGCATCATAAATATGTTCATGTCATTTTGCCTCAACAGCTTCTTTTCATTTCTATTCCAAAAAAACAACAAGATCGGAACGCCGTTTTACATTGATATAATCAATACATTAGCACGTCTTAGCTGAGTGTTGATTTCGAGTAGTCAGCTAAATGAAGAAGACTGTCCACTATTCTTAATCACATAGTATTTCTGACCTTCTGGAATTGGCCTGATGAAACTAACAATATTGTACTGACATCACAGCGAAAGTTTACATGGTACCATACCGCGCATCCAAAGAGGCCTTCCAGCAAACACACACAAAACTTCCACTCACTCAAGTGGCGATAGCTTTTGACTGGGTCTCCTGACAAGCGCGGTCGAACAAATAAACAAACAAACAAACAGGAAAGCGAACGTTTGTTCCATTAGATTTCCGAAGCTTGTGACCCCAATGCAATGTATGTGTGTCCATATCTCTCTGAGCTAACGAAACAATCCATTGATGGGAGACGTAGGTATTCGTTTCCAGTGGTTTCACCTAATGTCACGAAAAACATGCACATGAGGTACGCGTAAGTTAGATTGACCATATAGCACTCTGTATTTTATGGGTAATATTGGCCAGGTACACATCAAAAATCAATTTTACTTATTAAGTTAGTTTTATAACATATTAGATAATACACATGACGTGCTGTTTCAAGTACAATGATGAAGAGGAATTAGCACAAAATAGCGTAACTATTAGAAGTCCATAGCTGATAATATAATTATACCTGATGGTACAGGGGCTTGGGGAAAGTGCAACCATGCACGCGGATATTACGGCTGTGGAACCCGACCCCCTTTAAGGTACGGATATTTGGGGCACTTGGGCATTCCAAATCCCTCGTGTGTCACATCAATATACTAATCCTATTATAATCCCTAGCACTGACCTTTAACTGTATGACTGTCACAGACCATTAACTGTCTGTTTGCAACCTGTCTGAGTATTTTGAGGATCTTGCTACATACACCCATAACAATGGTACAAGCACGTAGACAGAACAAGAGCTACTACATATGTAGGTACAGGACATAAAGATCATAAGAACTACCGCGACCTATTGTTCGTGGAGCACGAGGGAGCTTTACATTAGGAAAGTTTTCAGGGAAGTTTTTGTTCTTCGGGAAGTGCTGGTGGGTCCCGATAGAAGGAAAGACCCTCAGGCGCCGATACATGGCAGCCAGGAAAAGAACGGAAAAGACTCAACATTCAAATAAGCGTACGATAAAGACTGTGCCATTTTGTAACACAACTAGTTAAGTTTTAAATCTGTTTGATGCAGGGTGGGGAGTAACTCCCTGTCCAGCAATAGCACACTTACATGGTTTTGTGTCGATTTCTTATAAATCATTAAAAAGAACATCCATCCTCAGTGTAGAGAAGACTTGAGACGTTGTTGTCTCAAGTCTTCTTTTAAATACGTTGTAAATTTTGAAATGAAAAGTGGTGCGTGAACAGGGACGGCAATCGCCTTGAAAGAATATTACAGACCTGGAAATATGAGGAAAAAGTTACACAAACATCTATTATTAAAACATTTGTTAACAGTTGAATAGCAGTGAGCAATCTTGTGTAAGTTTGGTTATAAGGGCATTATTGTATTAGAACAACAATTTAATTAATCTGTGAATTAAAATTCTCCTTTTTTCTTTGGTACCGTACTTTCCGCTAATAATTTTAAAAAATTGTAGGCATTACAGAAAGCATGCACCTCTAGGTTACATATAGTTATGAAACAATCACATTCTGAACGTGGACACATACGTTTCTTTAACTATTTCAAGTGACCAACAAACTGAAACTCACTTAGTTATCAAGGAAGCAAATTATTCTTTCAATAAGAAACAGCATTAAAGAAAACTAATGTTTGCACGACAACTTCTCCTTTCCACATCAGAGTTCACACGATATTGAATTGAACTGCGCTTTAATTCATTGACCCTGACAGTCAGGCTGGAATTAGTCAGTACCGTGAGTACACGCAAGTCACCGATTCTACCGTGCACTGCCGTCATTTATGGTGATATTTTAATTGTGATATTTACGAGCGCATTCCACAATTCATTTACACTACGTAACATAAACAGTTTCAAAAAATATAACAAAAAAAGTGAAACGTTGGTACAAATGACGGGGGCGTGAGTCGTTGTGGATAATGGCGAGTGGGGTGAGAGTGGGGCAGTATGATCTCAACTCTTAGTTTAGGCACCGGGCAAATTTCACCAATCAGTGTTGGCAACACTAACTGATTTGGGAAATAGCCCGCTTCAGTACTTTTCACTCTAATGACCGGGCAGTGAACCAGGCGGTAAGCTCACCCCTCACACACTACTCCGCAGCAAGCCGTCAAACAATACGTATAGTGTCTTGGAAGTAATATTGTCGGCCGTAACCACTAACAGGGTTTGTGTTTCACAAGTACGATTCCGATGGCGGAGGTGAGAATGTGAGTAAGGGTACGGGCGAGGGGGGCCAGGGCGGTGGAGGCGAGGGCGAGGGCGAGGGCGAGGGCGAGGGCGAGGGCGAGGGCGAGGGCGAGGGCGAGGGCGAGGAAGGCTCCCCCAAGGGCCGGGCGCTGGGCACTCCGAGGGCCGCTTGGCAGCTTGCGCGGCCTCCGCTGCCAGCGACGCTGCGAACTGGGCCGCGCGCCCATGCGAATCGACCCAAACACAAATTTCACCATCTTTTGATTACACGGCTCTATATTGAAACCGGAATAAAACTTTATCGAGATGGCGCCTTTCCAACTCCCAAATATTATGAGTCCTTGCCACGATAATTCTATGCAAATGGAATTTTTTCCTTTTCTTTTCCTTCCTGCCTTCGAATTGGGATTTTTTTTCTTCGGAGCAATTCGGTGTGAGGATATTTAGGGGGTATAGCAAGATAGAGACATCGAGATCGGAATCTATCTGTAGTGCACATTTGTCATGCAATGCGTCCAAAGGGTGATCCAAGAGAGAATGTTGCAGAGAGGAGATTGCATGCAGCTATATTCAGATGTCGCATAATGTTATCTCACATTACAGTCGGTGTGATGAGAATACAGTTCTACCAGCGTTTTGATTACCAGAAAGAGTACATTATCGAACTCGTAATTATACTGAACTATCATTATGTACAGCTACATAGCGGGAGAGTAAGATGCAAATAGTGGACTCGTCCAAAATGGTGTTATGATGTGGACGTGTTTTTCATGGAGGGGGTTTGCACCCCTTGTTGTTTTGGGTGGCACTATCACAGCACAGACCTACGTTGATGTTTTAAACACCTTGCTTCCCACTGTTGAAGAGCGATTCGGGGATGGCGAATGGATTTTAAACACGATCGAGAACGTGTTCATACTGCACGGCCTGTGGCGGAGTGCTTACACGACAATAACATCCCTGGAATGGACTGGTCTGCACAAAGTTCTGAATTGAATTCTATCGATCACCTTTGGGATGTTTTGGAACGCTGACTTCGTGCCAGGCCTCACCGTCTTACATCGATACCTCTCCTCGGTGCAGCACACCGTGAAGAATGTGTTGCCATTCCCCAAGAAACCTTTCAGCACCTGATTGAAAGTATGCGTGCGAGAATGGAAGCTGTTATCACGGCTAGGGGTGGGCAAAACCCTATTGAATTCCAGTATTACAATGGAGGGCGCCACGAACTGGTAAGTCATTTTTAGCCTTTTAGGCACGTGTATTTTGATACGTCATTTGATGATAATGATGGTAATAATAATAATAATAATAATACTAATAATAATAATAATAATAATAATAATAATAATAATAATAATATCGGTCCAATGGCCGAGCTGGTGTAAGGCAGTAGTGCAGTGGCGGTCTCGGATCAAAGGATAGCGGGATCGAGTCCCGCCTCGGGCATGGCTGTATGTTTGTGTGTCTATATCATCATTCTTTATATAAACTTCATCCCGTCCCCCAGGGATAACAAACCTGGGGTATAAAAATGGAATCGGCATTAAAACGAAGATTAGAACTTATAGAATGCAATAATATTATACTTTAAAGTCGTCCTTTATCATCATCATCATCATCATCAATCTTCGATCCCCCCAGGACTAGCAACCCTGGTGGATAAAAATCGGATTCAGCTTAATGCTAATCTCCCCAAGAAGGTGCCACATGCACTTGCCCGGGTTAAATGATACGTGTCGTCAGTGCGTGCAGGTGCATGTCCGCGTGGTCCGAGACGGTCAATTCGCGACAAAAGCTTTAAAGAATTTCGTAGAGAATTTAATACGTTGGTGGTAGCTTATAGCTTTGAATATTACAAGTTTTTTAATTGCCTGTAACACGTTTTGTACTCTTTATCCAACTTCTGCGTTGATGATTTATTTTTTGTCCAGTTTGCATTAATCCACTGATCAAATGCTGAATTGGCCCCTTGTTATGCTTCTGAACATATATGTAACTTCAATATGCACACCTTTTGTGGGGCTCTCTTTCCCTCTTTGCTAGTTGTGGTAGAAGTAGAGCGGAGGATTGGGTTTCTATTTTATTAACAATAATATGAAATTGCCATAATAATATGTAGTTCATTTACCGATGGAAATACGTTTTTCATTACCTGGGAACAAAATTTCTAGTTTTCATATGTTGCTATTCTCGATTTGTTGGTACTTTTATTCATCATTCAGCTATGTAAATTAGAAGGATTAGGAACGATTCCTGGAGCACAATGAAACGTGCGCAGTTTGTACCTCTCCTTCACACATCACATACGAATACAGTTTTCATTGTTTTTGGACGAAATAAATCTAATTAATTTTAAAAAGGCCCACCGGCTGCGATAATTCAGTGATGCATTCCAGTATTACTATATTATCTCTGACCATGACCTCCTAGAATTCGAGTCTCGATGGTTTAAGATTTTCAACTAGCTATATAGCTGTCTCGAATTCAGCAATGCCGGGAAGAATATTCACGAACGCGGCTAGTTTAATGTGTAATTTTTCATGGTTTCTGGGGTCATATCTGTAGTGTCTCTGAACGGCTTCGAGTTCCGACGATGGCAGGATTTTCGACGGATTTTTATCTGGAGGAGAATTCTAGCGGCCAGCTGCTCTGATCGGTAATGTTGCGTCCTTTCTCCACTCAACACCAGTCGAATGCCGAAGCAGTACCCTAACAAACGGGCCATGGACGGCGCGCGATCTTTCCTTCCTCTTCCTTTCTTCATTCCTTACTTACACACACACTCATATGCACTATATAGTCACACTTGTCCAGAGATAGGTCGGGAGCTCAGAGCTTGTCGCGGCTGGGTCGGTTCCCCGCTGTTGGGAGATACCTGGTTGACGGTAGTCTCCACAAGCCGATGTAGGTCATCTCGCTGATCTCGCAAGCGAAGAAAGCATGCACTATACTTACGGAACTAATGAGCTTGGAAGTTCACGCCCCCGGAATCATTAATCAGTCAATTAATGGGATCATTACCAGGCGAATCCCGGAGCAGTACCCTAACCAATGGGCCATGGCAACGCGCTATCTTCCCTTTATAATCGTTATACAGACGCATATTACCATGCGTGCACTACCTTTCTACGCGTGCCAAGAGATCGATCAAAAGCTTAGTGCTTGTAGCATCTGGGGAAATGTCTCGCCAGCGGTAATATCTAGAAGAGGAAACCCCCGCAAGTTAACATGGAAGTCGGAGTCGGATCTCACGTTCTAGAGGTGGAGGGGCATCAAATCTCTTGCGATGCACTAATTTAGCTTTATAATGTTGAGACTAAAGACGCGCCCAGAAACACAAAATGATAATTCAATGAACCGAAACGCAGAGCCGAAGGCTGCGTGTTGTGTTCGAATACCGTGTAATGCGTACATGTGGGGTTGTGATGTCGTCGGCCATCGTATGCCATGACATGTGTTATCAGAACACTATTCTTTACAATTCATTTTTTATCATTCATTCGTTAAGATCATCCTGTCAACTTTCATATTATACTTTAAGGGATACCACTTTCTTATACTGAAAGAGAACTATCAATATAATCTCCATCAGAAGAGGAAGACATACAGATGTAAGAATCCTCGTTCGCCTATGCTAAAAAAATTATATGATACTCATATAGTCATTATCGTCATCATTATCAACATCATTGACAACACGGCCATCATTATCATCATAATCATCAAAGGTAGGCGAACAACGGAATGCAGAATCGGGTGTTATCTATAGTTCGTAATTGCATGGCTTACAACTACTACTTTCTTACCGCAATTGTTTTCATCCTTGCCTTTTCCAGTTTCGACGAGGTCGGCGCTAATAGGGGCGGGCTCATTTTAATTAATCTTTCACACTCCATTTTTATTCTGATTTGGCGATGATTTTCCGGCCGGATGCCCTTCCTGACGCCAATAAAACGGGACACACAAGCACATTACTCATAGACAACACACACAACCATGCCCGAGCAGAGAATCGAATCCACGATTCTTCGGTCATAGGTCACCACGGTCACTTAGCGATCTCGGCTACCCGGACCGGCTTCTTGCTTACTTCAAAAACACCATCTGCACATTATGGTAGAGCAAGGGGCGAGTAGTTATTTTCGTTTCTTCAAACTGAAAGAAACGATTTTCCTAGAAGGAAAGGATATTGCCTTTTGAGGAATCAAGGAAAGAAGGCTTTGGCAGCCACTCTTTTGCGAACGCACGGCGAATGCGCGTATACAAGATACTCGCAGACCCCGTCAGGAAAGTCTGCGGTCTTGCCGTGCAGTCCTCTTAGTGGCGCACTTCGCCGTCCGCCCCGCCCCGCCCC